CTGCTAAGAGCACACAACCTCTGCAAATTTAATAACTTCTTATGGATACACAATTTTACACATCCACTGATTTTTGGGTGATTCCGACCAATCCTTCTGGGGGTTGAAATTTTCACAACCAGCGTATTTCTCTGCAAAGAGCAACATAGTTTTCTGTAGTGATATCGAGTACATTATGAAGCCACTTGGCCATGATTTCAATGCAACGGAAAGGGGCTTGTTCATATATTCCAGCACAATACGTCCGAAAGCAGTACTTTGCAGTGGAAACAAATTTCATTCTGTTAAATTGTTCATTCATTTAACCTGAAGGAAACATATGATAACTTTACACTACTGCTCACACTATAAAATATGAAAAATGCAAATGGAATATATGCAGATCTCAAGATAATTGCAATTCTGCTGAGCATGGAGCTCGGGTTCACAAAGCGCGGATGCTGCCTATGTGAATGGGACGGCCACGACAGGAAAAATCACTATTGTGGGGAAAAAAATGGCCTACTCGGATGGAACTACTGCATGGACAGAGAAATATCACTTCTCTTGACCCCAAAAATGTATTTCTGCTTCCATTGCACATTAAAAAGCTTTGTGAAACCGATGGGGCAAAACATCACGTTGTTCATGTATTTGCGAGAGACTTTCCCAAGGATCAGTGACGCAAAAATAATGGAAGGAACATTTGTGGGACTGCAAATTTGAAAATTTGTGATGTTGAAAAGAGGCTGTTTTTTCACAAATGTCTGTACAAACATTTTAGACCACCAACTATCGCGATATTCTACATGAACAATTGGGATCATATCACCGTATGGGTTATTACATATCATCGTCAGTTCCTGAATGATCATTTGCACTTCCTTCCAGATAAGCTCCGTGCCGTTAGCGACGAACAGTTCCACCAGGACTTTCTGAAATTAAAAAGATTTACCAAGGCAATTGGTGTGACCCAATGTCCAATTTCTGCCTGACATTAAGAAGACGTGTTCCTAAGGCAAAGTATTGCAACAAATCAGAAAGGAAATATTTTAAGGGGTTTCTTCATTGTTTTAAACTCCTATGTCGTTGCAGTTTTTAATATGTTATTAGAGCGTGCCGTTTTGCCAGATACAAAAATTACATAAGGAGACATCAATTTACAAAAACGAACATCACATGAAAACTGAGGCCGATACATTCTGAAGTTAGATCTGAACTGAGAAGCAAATTATCTTCCAGAAAAGTTTGCTTTCTTCTTATTACATAAAAAATGTAACCAGTCATTGATTTGAAATATATTTAGGATATTTTTCAATTAATTGATTTGCCTCAATTACTACTTGATCTGACAATATCAATTCTCGGCAATCTAAGATCCTGGTTAAAAAATAGAAGGGTCATTATTCCACAAAAAACAACATTCAGAAATTGTTTGTGTAAAATGTGCCCCTATTCCAATGGGCAACTCTAATGCCGACAATGCAAGCGCATTGAATCTATCCATTAATTTTTCGCGCGTTTCAAACATGAGATGCAATTACGAGTACTTATCGATGGGTAAACAATCAACCAGTATGAAAGTCAACAAATGCACCATATTCAACTCATTTCCACGAAGAAACTATCAATTACATTCGAAACAAATTTTCAAAATTTTTCTCAGCGCCATTTGCTTTGAAGTGAAATATTTCATTTCACAATGTGCCTTCTCAAAGATCGAGGGGTCTTTTTCGGAATGCAATAATAGTATTCGGTAGTAACATTCATTTCTTGAAGATGAGACCGAAGAAATTCTGCTTGCTTCTTTGAAAAATTTACATTGTATTGAAGATCGTTCAATTCTGCCGGTGACAATGGCTGTGGTTGTAGCCGTGCTGCAGATGACGTGAAATCAAAATCTTGATCCTCGTGATTGGTTTGTCCCTGGGGGAGAATCGGAACTCGACGAATTGCAATTTCAAATTTGGATAAGAAACTTTTGATTTAGAGCTTCCTGTAACTTTGATTAAACTAAAGTAGCAATCTGTAATATGGCCCCTAGGGTCCCTCCACAACTGTGGGAAGGCAAATGGCATAGACTGGTGGGCTCCACGCAACCAACGTTTTCAAACATTTCTGCGGTGACCAACACCCACATCTACTTTGATTCAAAATACAATTCGTATCCTTTTTGCCCAGGCAATAATATTTCTAAAAGAATAAAGTCATAAAATGCCGCGGTAACTAGTAGCCGAGCGCAGATATAATTGCGTTTCCAGAAGAAAGTTAAGGTGATAGCTAAAAATGGTTTTCAAAATTATCAGGGCACTGAACTACGTAACAATCACACATTTTTGTTCCGCGCAATTTCATTGTCGCGTTGTGTAATTTATAGCCACTTGTTATCAATTCAAAATAATTTTTAATAAACAAAACTTCCAGAAATAGCAATTCTGTATAATTGCCCGTCCTCATATAACAGGTAAAGTAGCATGTGTCGGAAATCATTAAAAAAAAATTAAAATTGAATTAAATAGCATGTGGTTAGAGGGAAAATCAATAAAAATATTCATAGATCTGTATTAAGCGAGTTTCCATGGCGTGCCCAAGGAAGAAGGTAATATCAAATATTAGGAAAATATTAATCATTTTTATATATTTATATTCAATATCAGAGGGTACATCAAAAATGGCTGTCCAAAGCGGAGTATTTCTGAAAGTTCATTTTTAAATTGATGCGCAATTATCAACCAGTAAAATTAAGAAATTGCCAGCAATCTTATTAATTAGTAACTATTTATTAGTTCTAAATTAAAAATTACACCATGAAAGTGTGTTACTCATGCAGAAACTATTTCTACATATGGAACAGGGCGATTTTTTTGCAAATACTTGCGATACCAATATTTAGGCAAAACAAAATATAAATCTAAAAAGGAATTGGGAGGCGGGCCTTTGATTTACCAATCATGATATATAGGGGCCACTGCCCCAAGGGAGGACAGAAGCTTAATTTTGAATTTATTACTAGATATGAAAAAGGGTAACATAAATAGGTTTGATTTATTGGTAAATGACAATGTGGAGATAAAAAAGTTAGAACAATCTTAACAGTGAATTTGAACTATGAGAAGAGAAATTAATCCATGAAATACAAGGTATTACAGAAGCCATAAGAAAACCACGGGAAAATTCAGTATCTAAAAGCAATTCGGATGTAAATTTGAATTAAGTAATATTTCATTATAAGGCAAATGAATAATAAAAATATTTATACATCAGTATTATGCAAGTTTCCGTAGCAGGAAAGTAATATAAAATATTTGTAAGAATATTAATTAGTATTATTTATATTAAATGTCAGTGGGTATTTCACTGAATATACGAACACAAACACATTTTGGAAATTAAGTGAACTTGCAAAACAGGCCAATCTCAAAAATAATTTAATTTGGCATGTTGGTATTAATGAGAACAAGAACAGTTAATAGAAAAGCTAACCCACCAAGAATAGATGGTATGGCTCACACATTCAGTATCATGCATGAAATACTGTTGCTTTATAACTGAGGTTTGCACTAAAAATATCACAAAATAGTCACTGTAAAGACAGACTTATAAAAGAATATCGAAAGGGTGGTTTTATAATTTCAAATTGCCTAGTGAAGAAAGTAATATTGTTAATTCAGGATAGAGATAATAATCAGACCACTGATCATGTATTATGCAATGGTAAATTATAACACGAGACATAGAATTATAACAAGAGAAATAGAAGCACGGTAAAGATTCGGCTTAATATTCATGTCAAACTATTGTGGATATTTTAAAACAATCAACATCTAGTACAAAATTTACGTTTTCAAGTTACAGCTCGTGCTACCAACATTTCCGTTGCAAGCACACACCAGCAAGGTGTCACTGCAGAGACTTTCCTGAGTAAGATGAAGTAGTAATTTGTAAATTTTAGAGCAAAGTAGTTTTGAATCAACTTTCTGTGAGATTACCTTCATTATACGGATGGGTACTTGTCAGTAAAAATAAAAGAAATTAATAATAAAAGCAGATGAGTCAAAATAATGGCATCTACATTTACCTACACGTAAGTGTAGTGGTCAAGTACGTGTACACGTGACGCTAGCTGAACACTAAGTATGGAGGAAAGGAACCCTTTCTTTAACTTTGTTGAGATGGGCTGTATAAATGAGGTTATCATTTTACATGCTGATTCATACTCCCAATCACATAACGTGCAACTTATGACATTTTCACCAAAAACTTTTTTTTTTTGAAAACTTCCGAAAGAAATTTTATGAAATAAACTAATACTGTATTATTCATCTTTAAGATATGAAAAAATTCCTATCTTGAAAAAAATAATGCATGAATATGACATAGGGTGCATAGCTTCTGCATCTCAGGCCCAAGGCGAAAGTTGCTATTGCTAGAAACTAGCAGAAAAACACTTCGGGGAGAAACATTCATTTTTGTTATTTCACAGTAATAAAAGTATAGAAAAGGCTGGAAATTGTTGGAGAAATATTTATTAGCATGACCTGCAACTAAAACATAAAACTAAAATTGTAAGAAGTGGGTGAGGCCACTTTTGCACTGATAGCTTCAAACATTAAGTCAAAATCAAAAGAGAAGAGACCAACTGCTCTAGGTGGACAAGGTCTATCGAACAGTCAAGAAACCATTGAAATGTCGAGAGGGGAATTCATTCACAACATTCAAAGCAAGAAAAATCAGTGAAGACCGAAACTGAAAAATAATTGTAATGTGTTGGTTTGAAATAATACTATACAAGCAAAAATTTGCAAAACTTCTAGGCAAATTTTTTTACCTTGAAATATTTTTGTCACGCCAACTTTTCAGTGTTTATTGTGGCTCAGCCACTCAGAATAACCACGTTTATAAGACAATTATACTTAAAATTGTCCACAGAACATATTTTTGAATTTTCAGCATTTCCTCGCTGGACACCTGTATACATATGAAAGAAACTTTTCACTTCTCCAAAGAGAATTTAATTTACAGTATTCAAATACAGCGCAAGCTCTTCCATCATTAAACCACAACTGATAAGAAGCGATATTGGTTGAAAGCAAAATTCATCTATCCAGTTTCCCCAGTTTTCTTTAGCATAATCTTCTAAATACAAGACACAAAGTTTTGAATATCAGCATTCTATTATGTTAAATGCTGAATTCTGTGTTACATTTCCCAAATAGTAGAGAGTGGTTGGGATTTAAGGAAAAATAGAAAGAAAATTCATGAAATTAAGTCACTTTATTCACAGTATTTTATTTAGAACTTTTTGAAACTCTTTTTGGCTCCAGTCCCCTTTGATACTTTAAGAACATTAAAACGAACAGTTTTGCTGAGAGGTCTGCATTCACCAACAGTCACGACATCTCCAATTTCAACATCTCTGAAATTTTAAAAATTGTCATTATTGCTCATTTAAGTAATAATCACCTTTTTACAAGAAAATTGGTCAATCATACCTAAAACATGGTGAAAGATGCACAGACATGTTTCTATGCCTCTTTTCGAATCTGTTGTATTTGCGGATGTAATGCAGATAATCACGACGAATAACTATAGTTCTCTGCATTTTCATTTTCTGAACAACGCCAGTCAAAATGCGACCACGAATAGAAACATTACCAGTGAAAGGGCATTTCTTATCAATGTATGTACCTTCAATTGCCTGAAAAAATAAAACATTCACAAAATTAAAAATTGTTTAATTATGCCAAACAAATTTGTCCTCTAGAAGACAATCATACTTGAGAGAAAAGAATAGAAATTATTCAATTAATTGAACTTGTGCATATTTAAGTCCAACTCTCTGCAAAATAAAACGTGTATCATTTATCACAAGTAGTGCTGACATAGTGATTTCATTATCATTATATTATACATCATTAAGTTATTCTATTAAAGCAATCAGTACCAGTAATGTGGTAACAACTTTCAGAACAAAGGTATGAGGATAAAAACCCCATTTCAAATAATGAACAATTTTGGTTTAATCAACTTCCCTTATAATAAAACTATTTTTGTATATCTTCTATTCTCAACATCAGATTTATCAGAGTACACTTGTATAAAATATATGTACTGTGTTAATTGTTGCAGGAAATATGTGAATGTGGTAGACAACTTGCTATTCTGCGGTCTCCAACAAACATCTTTACTAGCTCCATAGAAATCTTTCTTTAGACTTAAACAAGATTGTAACTATTGGATCCCCATAAATCTATCCCTCTGGGATTTATTACATACAAATTGTCACTAACAATGTTCAGTTTCTAAAGAGTTTTCAGATGAAAATTTGAATTCTTAATAAGTTACGTCCTCCCAATGATTTGATAAATCAAAATACTATTTTGTTTAAAAAGATGCCAGGCCCTGATAGCTCAAATCATTGGTTGTATACACAGAGTAATTTCTTGAAATATAACAAATTGCATGAAATTATGATAATGTAAAACCTAAAACTGAAATAGCCTAAATTTCCTTCTGGATAAAAGTCCTGAATAGTGGTAACTGCAACCAATAAATATTTAATATGAAGACACTTAGTTTTTGTGACAATCATGAAAACTCCCGTGACACGAATTTATGCTTGGAATAAGCTGAGAAGAAAAAAGGGCATTGAGGAAAACAAGTTTTCTTTTCCTGTATTCTTTTACTTTCTCATATACATATGCATATAAGGAGTAATATACTTAGTACAAGGAAAGTGATTTAATGCTGCGAAAAGATTTTCAGCAGAAAAAAAAATTCATTGACAGGCTCAGATTCATTGACAAACCAGTGGATAAATCCAGTTGCGAAATTAACGGAGAAAATCCTCTAACACGATGTGTAGCCAGAATCCAAGTTTTTCAAGACCTTGATTCTGAAACATCAATTGACAACAAAACGTCGGTGTGTGAACACCACTTCAGCTTAAACTATTGGTAGCTTTTTTCCAAACTGAGGAACCCCTGTCCAATTGGCGCAAGTTGAAGCTTTGAGATTTGGAAAAATTTTCTTCAAAATTTGGGGGTACTGTAAATGAAGTTTCAAATTTTTTTCTTTTAATTTCTTGCCATGATAAAGGTGGCAATTTCCACGGATAATTAAATTTTCAAAAATTAAAAAAGTTTGGATTTTTTCAGAGTATTCCTACAACTACAAAATTGAAGATAAGAGATTTTTCCTTTGAAACGAGATTTTTTGTTCATAATTAGTTCTGCCATGAAGGTCGGGTACATTTTTTTGTAACTTGAAGTAGGTTTCATGTAATATCGTGTGAAATATTTGCGACTTTAGAAAATTACAAAAACAACTATCAAAAACACCACCAAACTTTTTTCTTTCAATTTTTGGTAGGGATAGCGCACTTGAATATGACAAACACTATAGTACCCTATCGTCTTGTTTTTCAGAAATTAAAAATAATTAAGAACGCGGAAATTATAGGAACTTTTTCGATGAGTCTCAAGTCGCAAATATTTACATAATCGACCATTTGTTCACATTATTATAATTATGAGTACATGTGCTCTAAATAATGTCTAACAAACTTTTGGGGTATTTCTTTCTTTTTTTCAGAAACTACACAAGTTTTTTCTTCTTTTTTTAAATCATTCACGCTGTTAATACGTACATTTCTAGCTGTTTGTAAACACTACTATATTCGTGAGTTAATGTGCTTGAAATGACTTTGTTAATTTTTTCGAAAATTCAGAAATTCTATAAAAATAAAGATTAAACAAAAAAGTTCAAATTTCGAATTTACAGTAGTGTTTAAACATCATTTTCATATAAATGGCTACAATTTTTTTGAAGAAAATTGCCATTTAAGTCTAAATATTACTGCTCTTTAATATTCTTAAAATAATACTGCTGTTCTACTATTAGGAAACTGGAAAATTGAAAACTTAAAAAAAAAAAAGACAGAGTGGAGATAGATAGCAGTTTGCACAAATTTGTGCATTATATAAATTAACACTAGGCCAGACCCGATATATGGTGACCACTAGACAAGATTTAAAAGAGAATCCCTGTTCGGTTAATGGGTCAACAAATTTAATAATTAACAACCTTTTACGCAGTGTTCTAGCCGAAATGATTTAATTTCCATTTAATGGAATATTTTTTATTTAATACTTCCCCCCCCCCCTCACAAGATTTTGGGAAAAGTTCAGTAACTAAAAACATTTCAAAAGTATGACAAGATCCGACATTTTTACAGATACCTAGCAGATAATTTGATTTAACTTGCTTACTAGTAAGCAAGTTAAATCAAATTATCTGCTAGGGGTGTTTCCCCTCCTACATTTTGCTGATATTTCCCTTTTGCACATTAATTCTTTGAAAATCCCTCTTGTTATGTGGTAAAAATGTAGCCATTTTTATGAAAATGATGTTTAAACACTACTACAAATTCGAAATTTGAACTTTTTTGTTTATTCTTTATTTTTACAGAATTTCTGAATTTTCGAAAAAATTAACAAAAAGTCATTTCAAGCACTTCAACTCACGAATATAGTATATTATAACACACACATATATATATATATATTTGTATCAATGTGCACACAACCACTACGATGACAAAATTCAGGAGAACATTTAAAATAATCTGTCAGAGCAAACCCATGACAATCTTCCTACTAGGGCCCTTTAGAGACACCAGAAAACACCGAAGACTGTATGTCACCAAACACTTATTCTAGATTTAAGATGGAATAGCTAAACCATGGATTGGCTGCCATTATTAAAATCGTGTTGCACAAGTAAAAACTTGTTCTGACCTTTCTGTATACATACATTCCCGGAATATGAGTCGTATACTGAATGTTCTACCAAGATTTTTTTAGTATAGCTGAAACATTTCAATATGTTCTGATAATGTATTTAATGAAAAAATAAGTTGAATGCCTTGCACTTGACTGACACCATATGATCACATGCCCATATGCCCATTGAAATACACATGCATCCCTCATGACACCAATCATGCAAGCTCTAAGTTCCACATACCCCAATAACACAATCACAATTCTTATCCACATTGACAATGACATTCAATTCAACTATGCTTACTTCAAATAACAATCAAACCCTAATAATCTCCTGCCATGCAGATGGAAGATACATCAACTAACTGTTTTGGTCAGCGTTAAAACAGGATGAACATTTTTATTTCATTTTATGGAATACAGGAGATTTGAAGATGAAATCCATTTATTAAATTTTAAAATATCGCATACATGTCACTTATCATAAAGAATTTGAAATTAGTACTTGGTAGAATTTAAATTTAAAAAGTATAAATTATTATTTTAATGTTAAGGTACAATTTAATTAATGTACACAAGATAGTGTATTAGTGTTGTTGTACTTGGGATTTATTTAACCATGTGTTTGAAGTAAATCAGTTGTTGATGGTTTCATCCAATCAATCCAATTCAATTCACATTACCAAAGTGACCTACAAGCACCCGATTGGAAGAAACCAACAGCTGATATCTGCCACACAAGTGACTAATAAATTTTTTTTCCTTATTGTCTTGTTTTGAAAGCGCCCAAATACGTGCATGTCAACGGAAACCAAGTAGCAGAAACAGGATTTCTTGTCTTTTATTGACTGAAGATGTATGTATAAGACCATGTATGAAAATAAAAAAAAATTTCTCTTAATTTTGATTCAAAAATAAATGCATGGCTAATTATTTAGGCTAATTATAAAAGTAATTTATACAAGCAGTTTTCAATTTGGACTAGCTCACAACCCTTGGATAAATGAAAATATCTGAATTCCACTCCAGGTTGAAAATTTACCTAACAGAAAGATCGAAATAGAGATATATGCGACAGCCAGAATACTTATAGAATAAAAAGGTAAATAAGTAGAGATGTGAAGTAGGAAACACCAATTAATTCAATAAAAGTGTCCTTTCTGTATGTAATTCAAGATCGTAAGTATGAAATTGAAGATCAAGAAAGGGGAAATCCTCCATAAGCCAAGGAGAAAGCTGGCAGCAGATCTAAAAATAAAAAATGTTTCTAATAAATTAATGATCGTAGCAGTTGTCATGCGCAGAAACATCAATAAATCACACAAATGAATACAAAAATGTATGGTAAAATGCAAACTTTTCCCAACACTGAACTGTTATGCTTTTGTTACTTCATCATCTTCCAGCATTACAGTCCGAGGTGGTCTTTGCCCTTCCCAACAACCAATTTTCATCTATCTCAATCTTGGTCAGCTGTTCTCTGAGACTGCGCTTTCATTCTCTGCTAATCACTACCACTTCATCCTCCATATCTTTCCTGGTCTTCCTGGGTACTATCATTAGCGCACAGAAGCCTTTATATAGTTTTAGACATCTGTTCATCTTCCCTTCTTTCGATGTGACCCAACCAACAGATTCTTTATAACATCATGTACTTAACAATACCCACAAAAATTCATCAATTTTCTATTACTTCTAACTCTCCATCATGAACAGCCAAATAAATTCCTTTTAAAACTTTCCTCTCAAATATTCGGAATTTATTAATTATTAGCTGTCATATTCCACGACTGCACCACAAATCACGGTTAAAATGGGGGAACTCGATGACCTTCAATTTAACTTTTCTAATAGAGAAAATTAGTATGATGAGTGAGCATAATTTAAAAAACAATTTTCCCCTATAAAACTAAGCAGAGCTCTTTTAAGCCTGTTATTCCAACACAAAGAGTTAACTTTTCTTTGGATATTTGAAAATAGACAAAAAACTTGTGGGAAAATTTAATTTTAATGTACTGTTGTAAGTGACCAAGCTCCTCCTCTTCGAATAATTTCAGGCTTTGCCATTTAAACCTTTATGAAACAATAGCTGCTTTTGCTCATTGGTGGAACTTATACACCTACACACCCAAATATTGAATGAAAATTCCATGTGTACTTGTCTACAATCGATTCCTTTGCTGACATGCTTCACTTTACGCAGTCTAGCTGCTGTCAGTGTGCAGAGAACCCTTTAATGTAACAAAAGTTCTAAGTCCTTTATGTTCAATTCAAGCAGCGATAATTTGATTAATATTTTTGGTTAAAGTAGGTACACAGTACATGCTCAGAAGCATGGCAACAGGGTCTCTCTAAAATCTCCCTCAAATTACACTACACGCTTTGATAGAAATGAATAAAACTTTCGGATAGGCGATTTTCATGTCTCGACCATCTGCTTTGTTCCCGCTGCATTGTAATGCCAATTTACTTTCAAAAGCAAGTTTTTTCGCTTTGCTCGCCCAGATCCAAGTCACAGCGAGGATCTGACCTTTAACCCTAACATTCACAATAAACATCCTTGAGCATATCCACCGCATAATTACCAATTCACTTTTCAAAAAAACTTTCAAAACTCCAACTGCATAGTCACTGCCAGAGCGGCACAAAGTTTTAACGGTTTAAATGATTTCCTTAAGTTGTACCGTATACTAGACTTCAGCCTTATTTTTAATCCATTGTTTCAATTTAAAAAAATCGAGGTGATGTAGGGGAAAGGCAAATGAACCACTGGGCAAGAGTTTTGAAATTAATGCACATACATACAGGAGTAACAATATTTTGCCAAATATTCAAGGATTAAGGTAGTAGGTTTGTTGGATTGACCACAGTGAAGTAATCCCAAAACATTCTTTAAATGAAAGCAAAATCTCTATTCAAGATGCTAAAAAAAAATGGCCATTACCATCTTAATTTTTTAAATAAAAGAAGTTTATTTTAGTGCAGGCTCTTATGGAAAAACTTTTGCGGGCATACGTTTCTTTGGTTATAGAAGAATTTATATGGTGAAAGTACTTTCTTCTTTTGTTCCATATGTAGTATATTTTGTTATGAATCACATGGTATTAAATGTAACGTACCTCACCAGGCATTCTGAGGATTAATTGATAAAAAATCACGGCAAAATACATTGCAACTGCAAGTACTGGCTATCTGCCACACTGCCTCGGGATTATGCTGTACAATTCATGCTATTGTCACTCTTTGGCCACGAGATAAAATAAAGCTTACTTAAAATTTTGTACCATACACTGTCACCAACTAATTGACGATAATTCAGTTCCAACGAGAACACTGGTCTCATATTCAATACAGGAAGAAAAAAGAAAACTAAAAAAGCACCAGAGGCAACGTAACCTATATTAAAAATCACCAACTTGTGAAAATAAAAAATCATAAGAGGAACTAAATTAGTAAACACTTTTTCTAAAGGAACTATTCAATACTTTTCTTTTCACTTACTTACAAATTATTTAAATGCTCCTTTTAGGTTTAAAAGCAGGTGTTATCTGAAGGTGTAATAAATTGTTGTTTGTTTGTGAGTTTGACTTGCGACTGGCACAAACATACCACTAAGTGACAATTGAAATGAACCCACCCACAAATTATTCAGTAACAGCTTCCGTATAGCAGCCTCATTAATCTTTTTCACTGATGGCCCCAATTTTGTCCATTTCTTATTATAATAATTTTCCCATGAAGTTGAAAATGACTGTCTGGACTGTAGAGAACGGTAGAACTTTGAGAAGTCTTTCAAATCGTCAGTCGGCACCATCCATACTAAGGGGAAAGAAACAACTGAGGCTGAAGGGTAATTAGGCAGTTATGAAAGGCGTCTTTTTTACACGAATAGCATTTCACAACAATTTCAATAAGCAATGAGATTTCACCAGAAAGGTTGCCCTTCCATGAGGGTTTCTCCAACTTACAGTGAATATAAAATCACTCTTACAACTTACACTCATTTACTTTAGAGAGCATTTCATAATTTCAGAGGGAGGCAAATCTTTCGTCCACTCGCTTCTGTAAGGTAAGGTAATTTTCTATATAGAAACATTATTTTCCCTTTTTTCAGGGAAAAATACCCTGTTAACTCCTGGTTTTCAATTTTCCAGGTTTGTCACCACCTTGCACATGCAGACAGCAAATTTGGCTAGCACCTGCATCATCATTCACAGCACCATAAGAAAACTTTACCAACAAACATCATTAAAAGTTCAGATTTCATGACACAGGAAACTAAACAATTTCAACATCTGAATTCACTAAACTGCTTCCACCGCAAGACCACTCCCTCCAAACACTTTCCAAATACCCGAAAGCCCTGTTAGCACCACATGCAAAGAGCAAATTCTGCTTGCACCTCAGCCATCACCAAACCACCACCCACTGCAGCTGAAATAAAAACAAACCTCTCGTGGGGTCTTGAAACCTAGACCAACATTGCGATGGCGACGAAGGGGTTTCTTCTTAAGTCCGGGTTTTCTATTGAGGTTAAGATGTGGTTGCTTCTGGAAGGCTCTCTCCGTCTACGAAACAAAAATCAATTAATGAAACACATGTAATTAATCATACCTCTCGCGGAGTCTTGAAGCCAAGACCAATATTGCGTGTGTATCTCAGGGACTTTCGTTTCTTGGCACCTAAGCCCTTCTTCCGATTAAGAAACACAGTTGGCTGCTTTTGAAAAGCACGCTCCGTCTGCAAAAACACCCACAATAAATTGTGTTCCAGCAAACTCAAATTCTTACCACTTACGCAGTGAAGCTTCACGATAATTCCCAGCGAACTAGCTAAAAGTGTAATTTAATGATTTAAGCTATTAACAAAACCACGTGTAGTGAACTGACAAGGAACTCAATTTATCTTAATCTTAACAGAATAAATTATTTTGCATTACGGAACACAAAGTATACATCACAAAATTGCTCACCTGATCAGCCATTATTACAACTAGCCAGGAAAAATCTCAGGATATCCCGTATATTACTCCACGAAAACGATCACACTCTCCACAACCACAAATATGGCCGAAAAAGAATGTTCGCTCAGCGAACTTCGCTCTCAGCCAGATAGAAGCAAAGAGTTTTATAATGGTTACGGAAACCTATACAAAGAGGAAAAACTTCTATGATAAGTGGCCTGAAGATCAAAACGAATCCTGCATCCACCGGGAGCGCCACAATCGACATCCCTTTTCTGTAGTCACTACTTCAGCGGGAGTTCAAAATAAACCTCATAAATTAATCTAGGAAATGATATATTTTCACTTAATTATTCATGCTTAATATAGTGATTTTTATTGTCTTGTTTGTTTTGTTTTAAGGTACATATTTATACTTACTTATTTCAGAAGTCCTCATTATCACTACAAAAGAAACAAAGCATTGAATCCTTAGGAACAGGAACCAAGGGATTCTTAATCATAAATGAAAACAGCCAGCATTGATGCACAATAAGAAATAAGTATAGCAAACAATTACAAGTAAAAGACATATTTCCCCTTTTAAAAACCTAATACATTGAAAAAATATTTTTAAAAAAGGTTAAAAGACACAAATAAATACAATTTATCATTGGAGTGTTTTTTAATTACAGAAATAGCATTGTGAGCATTTCAGAAAGCTATTACTATTATGCTAATTTTTTTAATTCTGCATTTTACTACACATTACGTCATTAAATCCTATCGTTCGTCGTCATTAAAATACTATCGAACAGAGAATTTTTCTTAAAAAATCGGCATTTTTATACCATAACTATTGGTATTACAGAATGGCAAAGACTCGCCGATATATGCAGAGCCACGTTAACGTACGCGGCCATCGGCCCGAGCCATCGACAATTCTTAAAAAACTATTCAATACTAAAATTTTCAAAAGGTAAAGTAAAAAGCCATTTAAAAAGATATGTATGACTAAAATACGCGCAAAAAATTGGCATAATGGAGTGGTGTGTCGCGCATCATTGTATAATATTTATAATACGAAATGTTGTTGGTTGATGCGAAAATGTCACTCAGTGATGAGAAGTTTAGTTTTTTAACAAAGCTTGTTTTTATTTAATTTGTAGTCTTTTTCACCGTTCAAATCAAATTCAATAAATCTGTTACAAAGAAATACTTTAAAAATATTTTTAAATGCAAAATTCAATGTAAATTGATAGATTCTCTTTATATTTTTGCATCGAAAAGGGAATCGGTGAAAGCAAGAATAGGGGCTGCCTAATTAACCCGGGAGAGGGAACATTCGGTGTGTCAAACCCAGTGACATCTTTCAAGCCGTTTGACCAGTAAGCGAAATTATTTCTTAACTTATCCATGAGTCTACCTTCAAATTGAATCTTCCTAAATAGTTTGAGCTTATCAGAAAAACGTGTTGTGTTATTCCCGCTGAAAGCTGTTGATTTGTCCATTAGACCCAACGTTCCCATTTGCGTGACTTTTTTACAACATCGCCGGCTAACCCAAGAGTTACATTAATGCATTAAATCCGAAAGATATATAATTAATAAACAAAGTTTTAGAAAATTATGATTGTTTATCAAGTAATGATAAAGTTGCTGATCCAATATTTGAACTAGAAAATTTGCACTGTTCAGATTTTGAATAAGAAATTGAAGAATCTGAAACTGATACTCAGGACATCAAACCTGAACCTTTAGTAATATATTTTGTTATTGATTTGCAGTCTAATTTTTATAAATTAAGTCGATATTTTAGGGTTAAGAAATTAAAATTATTTAAAATTTTAGTAGGGCACAATACACTCTCTCGGAAAAGTGAAGAAAAAGAAAATGAACAAAAAAACTATTGTAAAAAATGCTTCCATAAAACATATATTATAAACATCATATAAATATGGCTGTAAAAATACGTCTAATATGTTTGTTTAAGTAATGACAAATGTTTGTTAATATTGCATTATTTTACTTAATTGTACATTTTCTTTTCTTTGTTGGATCTTCGTTCACTTTCTAATTTGCTTTTTGTTCACTAGTCTGAGAAATAAAAAAATATATATTTTGAGCTATATATAGGATCTAAGATTTATTTGCATATTTTACTTCATAATACAATATTTGTGTACTTAATTAGTGCTTCAAATAGGCTCTAATAACTAGCGGGTCTATTAGAACCAACTTTCCACTGACGTCCAGTTTATTCACGATCACGATCTAGGCCCCAACGCTATTAAAACGGCCCTGGATAAATACGAAGTGCAAGTAGAGCGAGATTGTAGAGAGAATCTCGAAGATCGAGATTGACAATTCTACACCTACGACGTGATGGAAGCTTTCCATCCAGGAGGGAAGTCAAGCTGGAGAAGATAAGATTGCAGCTCGCGTAACACTTGAATTCACTTATGTGGGTAGCATTGCTTATTCAGTCTTAAGGTATTTTTCGTACTTGAATCTAATTAGACGCAATTTTTACATCGAAAAATGTAAAGATCTTTGAATGATCATTTAATACTGTAATAATCACTCTTAAACTTTTTTTTAGGAACTATGAACTAGTATAGTCTTATGAATCATGAATATATGTAAATAAATCATCCATGAATATAACTAAATTATTTCATTCAACATTCAACAAAAGTGAAAATTTAAATGTCACTTATTTGTAAAATGTCCTGAGAAATTCACCTTCTCTGATGTACCATCAACCGTTAGGTCCGCGACAGACTACACCGAAGTATGCGTTGCGAGAAATATGGAAAATCGAAACAAGGGACACTTTTATCGATCCCCTCACCCTTGAAAGCGTTTTCTCATTCGCCACTGCGGAGATGAAAGCGTTCCTCGCTCGAGTCGGTCAGCGAGCGAGTGTTCTCGGACACATTTCTATTGCTTAACTTAGTATATGACATTGAGTCATTCAATGCTACAGAAAAAACACTCAATAGGGCGGAGAACTGAATGAGGTTATAATATTTAGCAATAGAATAGTGATAAAGTCCAGATACAACAATTAGTTTTTGTACTTGTTTACTTGAAATTTGTCTTTAAACGGAAATGAAAGAGAAAAAAAACTTGTGTAGAAGATATTCTTACTTGTATGAAACTCGTCAAATATGATTAGGGCCTAGGTGGAAGAGGCTGATGCTCATAGGCCTATTCCATTAAATACCATAGAAGCCCTCTCTAATAGGACACTCCGTTTGAACCGCGGCCAAAAGCGGAGTATATTCAGCAAGTTCAATATCTCTCTTCTGCAGATGGTATACCCTCTGCAGCGAAAGCTCAGAGAGCCCTGAGAAGAGAAGACAGAGGTGCTTAGAGGACCCTGATAGAAAACCAATTGGGAGGGGAACTCTGCAGGTGTGATGAAACCAGCCTCCTTAGGGGAAGGAGAATAACCGAACCCTCCAAGTATGGCGGTTGAAGCGATGCTTCTGCAACCCATCTTCGAAAATACAAAACACGCAAAATTTCTCAACACAGTTTCAGAACTACACCGAAATGGACAGCGACTTTCGACAAAGAAAAGGGCTTTGAAAATCGGAACCTACAACACTGAAGGCATATCAACAAAAGCTGATGAAATAATTAGAGAAGCCGACAAGCATGGCCTGAATATCGTCGTATTATCAGAAACCAAGGGGAAAAAAATACATACACACACATGTATATATATATATATATATATATATATATATATATATATATATATAGAGAGAGAGAGAGAGAGAGAGAGAGCAGCGGTGTATCATTATTAGTAAAACACATTACGTCTTGGGATCAGATCAATGATAGCGTCTTGAAAGAAGACATTAAAACGAATAACTATATAGTTGTAATAGCGGTGTAGGCCCCCAATGACGATGCCTCAGTGAACGAAAAAGAAAAGTTTTTTTAATAAATTGACAATGGTGTTAGATAACGTCAGCGAACCGTAATTTTACTTGGAGACTTTAATGGGAGATGTGGATGGCGTATGCATAATTCAGAGGTAGCACCACATGGTGAAGTTTGGATAAATGATAACGGAGAAAGATTAACTCAGCTGGGCCAAGAACATTCACTGAAAATAACTAACGGATGGTGAAACTTAAGGATATACACCGATTTATATAGGTACACACGTACAGTTAAATAACATGCTAAATTACAGTTAAATTACAGTTAAATAACATGCTAAATTAAACGTAAATGTACGAGTTACGAGAGGGCTCGACTGTGGCTCAGACAACTATTTTTGGGGGTGTCTTTCCCATTTAGAACACTAGCCAAACATTCATATAACCAGAACGTTCTTGATGATGAGAGGAATACCCAAATAGCAAAGCGTTGAGGATGACTACCGAATTCGTATACTAAATTCGTCTTGCAAATAAAGTTCTCCAATACGAGCGGGACGCCGAAATTCAATATATGAAGCCTAGACAATTTGCGTCCATCAATCATATAAAAAAGCTTTCGGAAAAATTAATTCTTGGTGTAAAAAGAACAATTTTACAACTTAGTAGAATACGAGATTAAAAGTCTTTGTAGAAAGAAAAAGCAAGCATACGGAACGTGACTTACAAAATCAGGCGGCGACAAAACAGAATACTTTAAAGTAAAGATGGAGACCAGAACCAGTATTATGAAAGCAAAAATGATTCCTGGGAAATGACCTGTGAGGAAGTTGATCGATGTATTGGAAACACAAGATCAAATAAACAGTGGAAAGTAATACATGTATTAAGAACGTATAATAAAGGTACACCGCGGATGAGTGCTAATAGCTTGCAAAAATGGGCAAACTATTACAAACACCTGTTAAACGAAGATAGAACACAATACCTGCAGCAGGAAGAAGTGGTGATGTGATATCGATATGGAATCAGAAATCGAGCCCACCACTCTCAAAACAAGTAAGTGCGACTCTGGCATTAATGAAAAATAAGGAAGCTCCTGGACCAGGTAACATCAATGTAGAACAGGTAGAAGCCGCACCTGATTGTGTTTTGGATGCAATAGCCCTTATTTTCAATAAGTCCCTCCAAGGTGATGAACCACCTAATGAATGGGAAAAGGATTATTACTCCTACTTACAAGGAAGCAGGCAGACAGGAATGGCAAGAACTATCGGGTTATAAGCGTAATGTGCTCCGTATAAAGTCTGTGTTTAACATTAGCTTGTAGGTGGCCTTCCACGCTTCTTTCTTGTTATAGATGCCCAAACCACACTTTCACCACACACAAAT